GCTAGCTGTCAAGGTTTCAGCCTACGTGTCCTCGTCTGGATCATATGTACAAATTTATGTATACTAATGAGTTGTATACCTAAATATTCGGCTCTGCCAATTATAGCATTTTAGTTGTTTCTCAGTTTCTTCACTTATATGGGCAGTTGAGTAAACATATAAGAACCAAAGGTCGTTGATCATAATAGAAAGTTAGTGGTACTATCCTACTATCTAACTTGAATTGGTGTTAGAACATGAAATATATTGGTTTCATGGTTGAGTACTGCAATTATTAAACCATCATCGAGAATTAATACACGGAACTATTTCAAATGTAACCACTTTTTAATTCAAATATTTAAATTTTCATGTAATTTTCTTATAATTCGTAAATATATTGAACGAAAAACTAACAAGGGTGAAACAAAATGAAATCACTCTATTAACAAAAATAATGCATGTGTACTTTGTAGTTATTTTTCTTTGAAAAGATCAAGAATGTTACAAAACTGAAAGTTTGAAATAAAATATCCACAAATCTATCTATAAATATCCCATACAAGTAAACTACCTAATGCTCCACCATTTGCTGGAACAGATGTAATTAGAAAATGAGATTGTTTTGTAAATGTACATGATCGAATTAGTCTGGATTGTTGATCGATATTAGGTCCATGTGGTTGAGTCAGTGTTGTAGAACTCCACTCACCAATTAAACTCCCTTCATTTAAACTACCTAAACTAGATAGATAACCTAAAGATTTGATTTTAAGTAGATTATTTTTGAAATGCACGTCAATTAAACGTATTTTACCATCCCATTGACCAACTGCTAACAGACGGCCATCATCACGCCATGCAAAACATGAAATACCAGTAATACAATTATTAAGTGATTTATGAATTTTAGACAATTTAAAATAATTTGACATTTGAGAATCGAATTCCAATTGTACAAAGGCTATGTTTCCATCGACCGATGTGTCTGTATCACAACTATCCACACTAGGTCCACCCAAAGCAACGAATTTGACATTTGTTTCCATTCGATTTGTACTTTCCTTACATAATTGTTGTTTAAAAACAGGTTGAATAGAAAGTGTCATAATGGGGATAGATTGGCCTAAAGGATAATTAAGCACACTTAACACTCGACCATCACCTAGTAAAATTAAGTGCCCAGATTCGAAGCCGGCCAATAGAATAGAATGTATTTGATTTATGGGATAAGTTTTTCAATTCCTTTTAATGTCATACACATACCTAGATTTGTAACATTTTGACAAGAAGTTTGAATAGAATTAATTGACTGCTGACAAATAAATACAAATTGAGGCAATTGGATTATTTCGATAGACGGTTCTTTATTAGATGTTGAAGAATTATTATTATCATCATCATCTGTTTCTTCTTGACACAAATGGGCCAAGAAATAAACATTCGCTGAATTGTTGCTGTTACTACTACTCGTTGTAGTATATGCACGCCATAAATCGGAATTGCAAAATGAGATATCATATGTATGAATTTCACCAAAAACTGTAACACAATACAAAAAGAAAGCAAAACAAAACATATACAATTTGACAAAGAAAATCACTTTGGGGGGGGGGAAGAAATTATGAAAACTCACAACATAACGACAATGTATAAACCTGGTGTGCGATGTTGAGTCACAACAATGAATGACGATAAACACTATAACCAACAGTTAATATTTGAGTATGCAAACAATCAGATCATAATGTTACGTAGGGATTACACTCTATTTATGTAGTAACTAACGAAAATACTCGATTATTTATCAGAAAGGTGGAGTAACCTGCACATATAGTATTCAAAGCCTTTATAAAAAGGGATTATTGCTAATGGTAGAATCTAAAATTCGTGTCATCTTATTAACGACTGGTCAGTCCGATGTACCTAGATCCCAGTGTGTTGACGTCTACACTGAAACTAGGACTCAGTACTTTTCGTATCAAGGTGATTAATAAACAATCGAATTTCAATCATTTGAGATTTGCTGAAGCTTTATCGAACAAACGTCTGAAATTAGATTTATATATTCAAAAAGAAACAACAATGAATTTTTCTTTACTTTAGTATTATTGCATCTGTTTTATTGCATCATTCTTTATTTCAACTCTTCCTCAATTTTTGATTAAATCATTTTTATTTGTCCAAAATCCATAATTTTAATTCTAATTGACTGAATTCAGAACTAACATTATTCTTTATTACCATTTATCTGGGGTTTTGTGTTTAGTTACTTCATTAAGCAACCATCTAAAGTTTCATACACATTGTTCCCTTTATCATTCTGAAAAGAACAAGAACAACGATTCTAGCAGAATAGCATGAATTCATTTCATTTCGTAGGTTCTCGTCAGCTTCTTACAACCTGTGATATTTAAAAATTATAATTACATAATGGGTTTAAATTGCTTACATGAGAGGATTTGTTTGAAAGTTAAATTGAAGATATATTCGTAAAGTATTCCTATCAATGTTTATTCATTATGTAATCAATTGTTTCTAACCCCCTTTTGAACATCTAAAATTTGTTAAATTTATTTGAATGTTAATCACTATTTTCTGATGTTTCGGAACTTCCTCTCTTATATTTTATTTAGCTGAAACGATCTTATTATTAACATTATTGAAATCTTTGAAATATATCCATTTTTAATCACCTTCGTATTTATATGTATGTCAATTTTTCTATGACAATTTTAAAATATTACATAAGATGTTAGCAACTAATGAGAACCTAATCACACTTTGGGCACAGAGATGATAATTCAATTGGTGTCGCCATCTTGAAACACCGACTTCGGTGGCTTGGACATATTCTCCGAATGTCGTCCCAGAGAATTCCACGTTGTGCATTATTTGCCGACTCTGGGACTGGTTGGAAGAAGCGGAGAGGTGGTCAGTGCATGACATGGTGTCGTGGCATGAAAGAAAGCTGCAAAGGACTGGCTTCTGTTGGTCCTTCACGACTCCCTGGTTGGGGTCCGAGAGATGGTGCTACACAGTGGCTAGAGACGTTATCAGATATGGCTCAGAATAGAAGCCAGTGGTGATCCTGCTGTAACCTTCTTTTACTTTCTTCATAAAAAGTGGTTGTGTCTCCCTTACCTGAAAGATTTCTTCCGATTGTACCTTTGCGTTCCCTCATTACTACCACACTACCTTACAACAATCTCTTTGTTATTGTTCTCTTTCTTTTTAAGCTCCTTACCTTTTTTTTCTTTTCTCTTCGAATTCTCATTGTTTTGTGTGGCACATATATTGGCGCTCTCTTGTACCAATATTTATGTGTTCAAATAAATAAATAAATAGTAACATGAAATCATTTCATATTATTTTGTACTAATCTTTATTTTTACTCTCTTCGATACTCAAAATAGTAAATCACAGTCGGATAGCTTCTAATTTTATAAAATGAATTTATTCAAACCAGTTAACCCGAAAGTAGAATAATAGATCTAGTTAAGAAATCATTAACATTATTCATTGAAATATGTATATAGTTTAATGATAGAGAAAAAAAACCCTGAAGAAGACAAATAACAGTAAGTGATTTACTCACCTTGATCAAGAGGTTTAAACACTTCAGTCGTATCGAATTGTAAATTGCTTAAATCCCAGAAACGTATAAAGCCATCACGACCATGAGATATTATCACACCATAATTATTATTACGAGGCCAAAAATGCAAACTTGTAATTTGATATCCATTATGCCCAATCCATTGACGTAAAGGACGATATTTTTTAATTGACCAAATAACTAACCAGCCATTCAAATGACCAGATATTAAATAATTATCAGAGATTGATAAAATATATGTACATGGACCAATAGAATATGAAGTGATAGGATTATTATTTATATTAGAATTTGGTTGTGCAGGTATTAATATATGAATTGGTTCCTAATTATAACAGGGAAATAGGAAATAAATATAGAAGCATGAACCGATATAGTATCAGAATATATTAAAAATTATCTGAGTCTCATACAGGTGTTTCTTTTCGCTTATATAATTTAGGACAAGATAATGGCTACTAAATTGGAAATAAAGTATAATTTAAGAGAGGATTTAAAAGACAGCAATTGAAAACCTACAGTAATCGAACGATATAAGCTTATATGTTATTCAATTTTTCTAGATTCTGCAGTTCATATCCATAAATGAGTTAGGAATAAATGTCTTTTCATAATTAATAGCAGTTAGACATTAATATTCATTAGGAAATCTTGATCAGCTGACAATTTCTTTCTTTCTTAACTAATACATAAAGAGGAATAGGTCTGACGGATTTTTATTGTATAGTCACCTAAACTGCATCACGTCTGAATTCATTAACATTTTTAAAATCAACTCAGACTTATTAGCTGGTTGGTATAGGCAGGTGAAATTCGGAGGTCAATGACGTCGATGATCATTAGTGGACCGGATGTTCCTTATTCATTCCCTGGATTAGATCCGAATATTTCCAGATGGTTAATCATTAGTGTTTGAGATAGTTGAAGGTATACGAGAGAGAACCTTGAAGATGAAGTCTCAACATAGTGCTTTCGAGTCACTCACGTTAGTAGCGGAATCGCAACTTGACAAATAAAATTAGCTCAACATTCAAAAGGACGAGACAAACATGATATTGATCACTACTCAGTCATTAATCAGTAGTAAATATATTCGTCCAACAGCAAGTCAGTCCCAACTTGAATACCTTACTAGCAAAATCTCAGGATGTAAAGGTGGGTGACTTGGGTTAAAAAAAACTCCATGGATCTTCAGTTTCCTTAAGATTGCAAGTACACATTGCCGACGAGTACCGGCTAGCAAGAAACCTATATTTACAGTCCTCTTACAATTACCTCCAGCCGCTTAGCATGGTCTCTGTTTATCTCAAGCTATCATTGGATCGAAGACGAATTTTGTTGTCAAAATGATGGATGAATCGACGTCCACGAGTTAAGCTCCAGGTTGATCCGAGACATGTGAAGTACAAATGTTTAAAAGGATACGTTGAGTAAACCCGTTATATAACTTTTGTTTTCAAAATACGTTTGCTGGACACTAGTAATCTGATGTTGTCAGTATATAAACATTTCAAAACATGTAGTGAGATTTTTAAAATAGAAGAGTATGAAGGAATGATTAATAAGACTCTCTATGAATAGCCCATGAAGCGGAGTTCCACTATAATGGGGCAGTTATTAACTAATTCTAAAATGGTTGAGAAATATCGAGAATTGATTGAAGTTAAACAAATAAATCATTGGATAACAACCCAATATTTTAAAGGTTAAGTACTTGCCGAGAGATGTTAAAGCCATAGGTTCGATCCATAGTGTGGTTATGGACACGTCCATACTAGAGCAAAAGATACTCGTTCAGCACTCCTTTGTTCTTGGTTGTTGTGCAACTAAGGCTAGTTTGCGCTGTTAACTATGAAATTAAACAATCTCCAGAAATCCGTGATAATAATAGCCATTTGTATCTATTACCCAATGCGTTGTAACAAGTTACTGAATATTAACACTAATGAAAATCATTTACTGAACGGTGGTTATCGATTTAAATGTAAACTATCTATCGTAATTAAAAAGTTGAGAATTTTGAATTGTTCACCGAACGGGAAAAAAGCTCGTTATTTCAACTTAAAATTTGTCAAAACAAACATGTACACACGAGACCAGAAAAAATAGGTTAAAAGTGTTTATTTCAAAGTGGAAAAAACAATACCCTCAGTAAAACTTCAGGTGAAATGTCATATTTTTTAACTCTCCAATTTATTATTTAAATACATAGTAAACCATAATATAATTTGCTATCTCCAATGAAAACTGCAACTTATCAACAAAATTCATTCAATATAATAATAATATATACAAGATATATGGCAAAATAGAGATGAAGGTGAGTATATGCTAACAAGTCAGATTACTAAAAGATTAGTAAGTATTAAGTTTCATATAGGTGTTATAGAGAAGCAATAACAATTGTAGTAAATTACGGGCCAATTTTTAATAAATAAACAAACTCAACATGTGAAGAAAACAATCCTGTCTTAATGTTTAATAACTGTTATATCTGGCATTCTTCAGTTTGTTTAGTATGTCAGTGTTACATGTAAGTCTAAATTTCACTTTAGACTTCATTTTAATAATTTATAGCTATCTATGTATGTCTTATATGAACAGATTACTGAAGCACATCCCAACTTATCAGATGAATAAAGCAAATACAGTGCACACATTTTGAACATTAAGAGGAAGGTGCGCTGCAAATTCATGGAAACATGTCATATACCAATTCCACTGATAATGTCAAATTAAAGAAAGAATCAAGACGTACGTTGATGAAATATGTTTGATATGTTTAATTTATGTAAGTGTTTACTAGTAAAATAAATCAAAGCATGACACTTCTTTTTATCGCGAACACAACGTATTACCCTACGAAACACATCTAATGATTTCGGATTTGTTTTTGGTATATGCTCTGTAAAAATACGGATATTTCACTGTATAAATAAATGGCATGCGAAGTGGGAAACTTAAAACCAGGCTTTGAATTACTCCTGAAACATTCAAATATTTTCGAAATATTTATATCTTTTCAGTGTTTTTCATTAGCAATACTGTGTAAGATGCATTCCATAACATAAACAAAAACACATTTAACATAATGAGCTAATATATATAATTTCGGTCGAAGCATTCAAGCCAATATGTATCATGATTTCGAAAATAAATGATCGCAAATAAAACAAATAAAAAACGAAATATAATGTCAATATATGCTGCATTAACAAATTTGGAGCATGCAATTTCACAGCCCGCTAAGTGCTAATTTTTTTATTGTGGTAACCAGAACACTTTCCCAAAACACACAACAACTAAGCTGTCATGGTAACTTGTAGGATCGACAAAGAATGAATTGTCTAAGGCATTATGGTTGGAAAAACCTAATTATACGACGGACGTAATATTATCACTATCAAGATGACATAGTTTGCATAAACAAAATAAGAGATTGATATTACAGTAAACTATTTAACCTAAAAACACAAGTGAAATTATCAACAGAATCGTTAAACAAAACAAAAATGTATGATAGCCTTCAACAGGATTAGTACGTTACTGAGTTCACTGATAAGCAGTTCACTTTAGATCAATAAGATAAATGGTATATAGTTAAACAATAACACACATGGCCACTACCTACGAGTGAATAGCCTAACATTTATTGGTCCATGTAGCTCCTTCTATCACAAGTAGTTAATCAGAACACGAAAGGAGGCAACTAGCCCATTTGTTTCCTTGTACTATGACCTAAAAATCTTATGAAAAACTAAATCAATTATAAAATCACAACGCATCATAAATAGATCACAGATCTATATCACTTACGATAAAAAAAAAGCTGGGTGATAGGTGCTTCGCTAATCGCTAACGACAACTTATGAACGGTAGAATATCTAGAAACAGTTAATGACTTAAATGAAAGCGTATGAACAAACAATGATTATTTACACATATCTAAAACCATATCATAAAAGTAAAAAAACAAACATAGATTCCTAAGAATGACTCCGTAATCGGTTTGTTTTGTCTTCCTCAAACAAGATAAATTTACAAGTGACTGACTGAATAATCAATGACACAATATGTTATTCATTTGGCTAACAAAGTATTGCTCAGTCTTGTAATTTTGTGAAATTAAACGATCTCTCTTGAATATTAGGTAAAATATTTAAAAAAATAATCAAAGGTAATTATATAACAGTAATAATACAGGAATACAACAAAATAAAAAGAAAAGAAAACTATAATTTCAAAATATAATGGATATTTTTATTTGAAATGATTATTAAGAAAACAAGGTGAGAGAAATTACATGTTTAAAAAAATATCCTAATTATTTGGTCAAAGAGAATAAAGAAAAACAGAACAAAACAAAGAATATAACACAGGATTACTATTAGTATTATTATTATGAACTCATCAACCACGTGTAGATTTATCTACTTGAGTATCAACTACACTCTAAGTATGAGGATTAGTGATATTACTACCAGGCTGACCAAAATGAAGTACTTGGAGCAAGGTTCGAATCCGTGACAAATGAATCTCTTAACCATTGAGTCACTACTCCAAATTATAACTGGATCAGTTGAATATTATAACACAAAAGTACACATGGAATAAAAAAATGGCAAATTTTACTTGAGTTAAGATTAATATAATAATAATAATAATAATAATAATAATAATAATAATAATATAATAATAATAATAATAATAATTATGCTATTCAATAGTAATAATATTCAAATGGTTAGTTATAAACAGATGTATGGGGAATAATGTATCTTTTTTACAATTTAATTATTGTCTATTTGCATAGATGGAAGAGAATATCTTTAGATTTTCCATCATATAATAATGATAATAAGTTCAATGGTTGCAAATTCGTTTATTTCTTTATGAGTTCTTCTTTCACCGAACATCCTTTTTACCGAATGAAAATCCTGATTTACCTAAAAGAAAATAATAATAATAATAATAATAACAATAAAAGCACAATGTTACAAACAAAAAAATGGTTTACTGAAACCAAAATGCATTATCATGTTAATTAATGTGTTGTAGAGTAGAATAGGAGTATTTCACTGAATAAATAATTCATAATAAATGCAAGACGTTTCTCCAACCAAATTGAGATCACTAATCGATTAAAGTTACACAACCAATCAAAGCCTAGAAGCACTGGATAATCATTTTATCTTAATATGAGACTCTTCAGCAGTCTGAATTTACGACTCTGAAACCAGGAACTAAACCCAAAACCTTCGGACACTGAGACCATTGGGCTGAAATAGAAAGTACTCGACTTCCACTGTCCTTAGTGTGTAACTTCCTCAAATATGATACGGTCTATTTGTCAGTGCTGCTCACTAGAACTCTGTAAATTTCCTCACAAAGCTAGTCATTAGTGAGTGCAATCTCCTAAATCCCATAGTGATGATTATTAATAGCTCACTACTATTCTGGGAGCTGATCGACTTCATAAATTCAAGATTTCATTATGAGTGAAAGCATAAAAATACAGTCAGTTGTAAACAATGTAAAGTTTGATACAAGTGTGTTGATCCAAGAAGTACTATTACATCTGCACAACCAAATGAAACTAATAAAAGTAATGGTAAAAGAAATCGAAGCAATCATAAAATTAAGGACTAAACATTGGTATATGTATTGAAAAGATGTAATGGAAAGGTATACATGAAAGGATTATGCGATTCAAGTTCCAGAGGAAGTCCTAACCATTTCAGTCGGTGAAAATACACAACTTTAACATTGTTTACCCTAGGTTGAAATTGAACACAAATTTCTGTGCTGTTAATATTTGACAATGGTGATGAAATTATCAAAATTAATTATCACTAGGCATAATACCGAAGGACTCTTTAGATGAACTCATGTTTAATTCATAATAAAACACTTTTCCATATTCATGAGTATGTAATTGTGATTTATTCAATTACAGCGAAGATCACTAAATTGTTTATTTGGATGATGTTTTGTTTATGCCATTATCCTATAAATTAAAAACCACTGAAACTAATTTAAACAAAAAATTCTAACTTCTAGTACATAGTTTCTGATGAAAACTTAATTATGACAAATTCGAAGATAAGCTTTTTTCTTCACTTTTATGCATTCAATTCGATAAAATATATTGATACTATTTAAAGACAAAACACTGAACTATTGTTTAGTAGACAACTCTGTGTTGGGTATCCACAATATCCCTCAATGAAGTGTCTAGAAGCCTAGAAAAGATTAGAAATGTTTTATTCAATCAGCATTGAATGGAAGCATCTCAGAAACATAGAGAAATATGAGAGGTTATGCTCTGTTTAGATTGAATAATTATTTATGATAATATTTAGTATATCTATAGATGCTTCAAGATAATAAAGCTCACACCAAAACCTATAAATAAAATCAATTTTCTGTACAGAGCATAACTTTAAAGCAAAGCTTTCACTCATATTTCGCAACTTTTCTCTATTATTCGAGTTGGGTATATAAGAAAAGGTTTCGGTAGTCAGTAACAAGCGTTCAAGTAGAAAACTTATCATTCAGAAATTTATGAAACATAATAACTCATTCTAATAACATGCAAGGTTCTTTAGGTTGAAATAAAACTCCAAACTAATTATTATCTTGAATGAAGGCCTGTACACGTCCAGATATCATGTCAAGTAGACAAAATTTCTGAAAATGATCTCAAATCATCTCATTTTTGACAAATTTACAGGAAATCTCATCTAAATGATCACACGGACTGTAATTTTCCCGAAAGTAACAACAAGGAAATAAATTCAGAGATGAAATTAATTTACACTCTTCCATGTGGTTATCAATAATTATTATTAACACCATCCAAGTAAAATTTAAATTTATCGTCACAAATATACCATGGATCCAAGATACAATGATATCAAATAAAATCATCATACACAGAATTATATAATTTTTAAGAGGAACCTTGAAAAAATAATAATAAAAGGCTTCAGATGCAAAAAAGCTTGACAAAAATGACTACTAAAAACTTTGAAAAAAAAAGTAAAATTTATCGATTTACGAACATTTCTACATTGTAAATTGATTCAGAACGAGATAATTAGAATGGTTAGGAGTGAATGGACTTAAATGTCATCTTATTCTTCTCACCACGGAAGTATGGGTTTAAAAACAGCCCTGGAAATACTACAATTCATCTTAACCTATCGATCCTCATCTTTAGAGATGAGATCTTAGAAGTGCTGAGCTAGCACATCAACAACCACTCAGAAAATTGCCGTAAGTCGCCGGCTTCAAACAGTTGTCTTTTAACTATATGGTTACGAGCCCAGGTTGTTAAGGCTATCCTTTATTCAATTTTTCCTCAGATACCTCAAGAAGTATTCTTCGACGTTTTGGGCAACCGGGAAATGACGACCTCTCTTATGTTTTTAACATCACTCAATATTATTCTTTCATAATCATCATTTTTTCAAAAAAAAAAAAACGGAATGCACTTCAACATGCGAAACAAAAAACACAACAGCACATGACACAGCAAGAATAAATGCAAAACCTTTAGCCTTATGTAATAAAGCACAAAAAGGAAAATAGAGATTATTCCATAGTACATATATACACATAAGTGCAATCTCCTTAGGTATGAAAATAATCATTGGAAAAAAATGAAATACATTCTCAGTGTCTATATAAACACAAAAGGACACACATCGGGAGCGGAACAGTCGTCATCAATAAGATCTGATGATCATTGCACTATATCAGAAATTAGTTGACGTTGAAATTGTACCAACGAACACCAATGTAGTAGTTCTAACGGTTAAGGGTTTGTCATAACACCTATAGGCGTTAAGTTCTACTCCTCAACCATTAAGTTTACAAGACTGAATGATTGTAAGCTTAGTATCGTAAATGTCTTGCCGTCAGAAATATCTATAACGATTTATTTTTAGCTTCATAATTGCAATTTATACATTTTCTCGTCGAAAATATGTGATGTAAGTAAACACTGTAATCCCCAATCTCAATCACTATTTATTCTCAGTTGTCAAATAGTTTGGATTTTATTGTTGTTTTGTTCTATTTTAAACAGATTCATTATGTAGTGAAATTTGCTATCTCTACAGCTATCCAAAACTTTCTTGAGAAAAAAACCTGTTTTCCTCCTATTTATTGAGTTCAGTTACACAACAACTGAAGTGTTACTAGATTGCATTTTCATCAAGCCCTTGACCGGTATACTAGGCTTGTAACAATAATACAACAAGCGCCCAATTACTATCTTATCAAATGTGGGGCTCAATAATTATATACTATTGAAATGAACATCTACGATGTCAGATACACAAATTTGCAACTATGAATTTCTGTTCATTAAATTACTACGAGTACTAAAACGATGATTCATTGATTTAAATATGTTGATTCGCTTGTACACAATCTCTCACTGCAACTCAAAGATGAATCAAGCGGTGATGAAATAACACCACTAGCCTTCAAACACAAATAATCGCAGTTTGTACCATTCCATTAATAATCTGTATGTAGTTGTTCCAGATAAAACATATTTCAAAGTGTGTATAATAGAAGATAACGGTTTCATTTATACAGATTGAAGCATAAAGACAATCTAATCATAATGGTTATATTGCTTGTTGTGTAAAGCCGAGACTATAATGTTTTGTATTTGAACTGGTATGAGACAGAAAGCATTTCAACCTTTAGAAAAATGATAGTTAGAATTACAAACATTGATTTGTTGAAAAATTCAGTGAAGCATTTGGGCATCACTGTTTACCAGAGTTAGAAATTAGATGAATATCAATAAAATAAAATGATCCCAAGGATATTACTCATTACATAAAGTAGTAGTGAAAATGACAGGATAAATTTCGAGTTACATTTTGCCTCATAATAGTTTCTATGAAAATTCAATAATATTTAGTACCATAATTTGTTAGGATTTCAAAAAATTAATATTTTCTCTACGAATTCATTTAGTAGAGAGAGTTTGCGGATAGTGTTGAATTATAAAGTTAACGTCACGTACTTACCTTAGTTAGACAACCAGTGAAAACCTCGGCGCAGTGGACGGCTGTGTTCAGTTCCAGTATAAGACTCAACAGTGGTGCGCATTTACAACCCCACTTAAGATCAAACCCAAGACCTTAGTGTCTTGGAGTGAATAGGTAAATTTAAATCACTAAGTTAAGATAGGATAATTCACATTTCATATTATAATTAATTCATGACACAGCCTCAATTTCTTCAATGATGACTGCTTCGTTATGAGTTCTACCGGTTAAAAACTAGCACTATTAAAAAAATACTGACTAATTTCAAGTGATAATTCATGTGACCACTGGAGATCGACCATGCCGGGAATGGGGCGGTTACTAACTAATTCTAAAATGGTTGAGCAATATCGAGAACTAAGTGAAATTAAACAAACAAACCATTGGATAATAACTTAGTATTTTATAGGTTAAGCACTGGCAAACAGACCTGAAGCCCATCGATTCAGTCCGAAATAGGCTTATGGATGGATACTATGAGTCCCATACTAGGGCAAAATATCCCCGTCCAGAGTCCCCTGGTCTTCAGTGGTTGTCTGACTAAGACCGGTTTGTTATGTAAATTATAAAATCTGCAAACCCTTCATTACTAAAAAAACAGTGTCCATGAATCTCCCACAAACTGAACACAAGCTTCAAAACCGGTGAGTAGTAAATTACCCGCTGGATATTCCAGTCTAAACTTAACATTAAAACGTAACCTGACTCGTCCTTACGGATAATGAACACTTCAGTTCCGGTAAGAAAGTACACGGATCTCTACAATAACCGTAAACCTTTACATAAAATATTAAATCAAACCTTAATCTATAATTAAAGCAGATTTTCGAAATTGCAATGATGTAAAATTACCAAGGAGAATCAATGGCTCCATGCGAAATAAAAAGAAATATAAACTTCACTCGTAAAATACAAAGCAAACATATTTAGAAAACAAACATATATTAGCAAAATGAAATATCTTTAATAGATAAAAACTTCGAATAATTAATACTTTTATACGTAAGTCGTCTGTTGTCTAAAAAAAGTAAAAAATGTTTCCGAATAGTTAATGCTCAAAGTGTTTGATTCTTTAAAAAGAGAAAAAAACTACGATTATGAATCAAAATAAGGTCTTAAGCAACCATAGGTTGCTATTAAATAATTATATTTTATCTGGATTAAGTTCAGTTATCGATTCATTCAACATGCAGAGAAGAATACTACATAACAGCCTATTTAATATCCCTAACTATTCTACATTTCATTTGGATTGCGTGACATAATATAACAGACTGGATGATAGGCTGGGCGAACGCACGCAAATCATGTGCCCGAGCTGACAACCTGTCTCAAGATCAAGCATCAGATAGGTGATGAGTAAGGAATGCTAATGCATAAAGGCGACGATGCACTATTTAAAATTTTAAGCTTACATATCTGAGGGGTATATATATATATACCGAGTTATGTACACTATTATTTGATTGCCAATTACAACTTAGCCTTGTCATCCAATCACCATGTTGGGTTAGTGCATAGCAAGCGTGTATATCAGTGTTTGAGCTGGATAACTTAGGGGTGAAACACTTGATTAACATGTTTAATATACAACATCAGTTATTTTTATAAACATGATACCTTTGTTGTTCACTGACTAGCTTGTTCAATGTCATTAGAATTAATAATTAGCTGATAAAATATATTTCACTAGGCAATAACAGTCATTTAGAATACTGTGCACAAATGTGATCCAAGACTAGGTTATAATTCACTTCAATGATACAAAAAAAAGACTTTTGTGGTTCCCTGTTTGATCATCATTGTATTCGAGGCACTGTTTACACCCGGTGACAATACCATGTTGGTAATTCTGAGGTTCAGTGATGTATTGTCTTGGGGCAGTAATGTTAATTTAGTTGCTAGTACCTCATTAAAACGCTGAATTCGGTCCCCTGTTCTTATTTTACGAATGTTATCTCTATAGTTTCCATATCAACTAATTAAAGAATATAGTAACTTGGTGAAGGAAGCAAACAGGGTGCTCAGTTTATATGATGCCGTTGTGGGGAAGATAATGTATATGGTTATTATCTGTCAGTTCATCATGACTCTCTAGTTGGAGCCTTAGAAATCATGCAACTTAGTGGCTTGAGATTTTAACAGATATGGGTTGGCATAGAACCTAGAGGTGATCCTGTTGCAGTTTTCATCACAATGTGAACTGTCTTAACTGAAAGTCTTTTCGTGTATATTGTTAACTGAATTGTGTCTACTATCAAATACTCTTCTTATCCGTCAGTTAACTAATTGTTTAGCCCTTCAATCCTTTTTTCAAAACATTACCATTTTATTAGTTTGGCTTTTTTAGTGGCCTACTGTATTCGAATTCATGTGCTATAGAAAGTAGAAACAATTATCCCTAAAACATCTATGCAAGCAGAGAAAGGCCTAAAATATGTAAAACCAAACAGAGCCAGTAAATTTACAGTTTCTCCTGATTTCACTTGTCATACATATTAACTTTCTCAAAGGTTTTGACGGTTTTTCCGGAACTCTAAAGTTTCATGTAACCGAATGATTTATGTGTAAGAACCAAATTTGAGGTAAAGCTTCAGTCAATGTACCACGTTTTAATTTGTTTAGCATTTATCGACTGGTAAGTATCTATTTATCAGTTTAGTAAGCCGTAATCAAGCGTTCGTTAAAGAAACTCAACACTAAGATGTTTAAAAATGCTGAAAATAAGATATACGATCCAAGGAAAAAGAAAATGATAGCCATCAATGAAAATGAGTGAAGTTAAAAGATGAAAAAGAGATAAATAAAACTAACCGCAATAATTTTTACATTTAAAAAAGTATAAAAGAGTAATTTCACCGTGTATGAATAATCATCCTTATCGATGTTTGATAAAAGTGTCATATCTAGTATTATTCTGTTCATTTAGTATATTACTTCAGCACATAAGAGTGTCATTCCACTAAAGATTTTATTTCAATCATTTAAAGCTATTTACATATGTCTTCTGTGAACAAGCTATTGCAGAGCATTCCAACTTGGCAGATCAAAAAAAGCAAATACACTGAAAGTTAGAATTTGAAATAAAATCTTCAATGAACAGAAAAATACTAGATATTACCCACATACTGAATACTTGAGAAGCACATTCATTACAAATCCACAAACACATATCCCATTTCATTTTAACTATTTGAAAATTTCAAATTACTTTTTATGTATATAAAGACTAACTCCGCCTGTAGCTCTTATAGGGTTACTGCCGGTCCCAAGCCCGGGTAAAGGAGGAGGGTTTGTCATGGGGTTAGCGTCCCCATCCCGTAGAAAACTAACTCGCTAAAAAAACGCTTACCAGAAAATATAAAGACTAGAAATAATTACACGTTTTTTAAATGTATGTTTATCATCAATTACACAAGCATAACACGATAGATGTACATTGTTTATATACATCAAACAAATAACTCAAAGAAAGAAATGATGTCGTTTTCTTAAAAGAAATAGACACGTAGTATTATTATTGTATCATCTTAATTAGTAACAGCATTTACAAAAGGATTTATCGATTGTAATTACCGTGTTCTGAGAAAAAATTGGGTCTTTTTTCGTTTAGACAACAAATTAAAAACAAGACATAACAGCCTACTTGCTTGTAAAACATCTCCAACTATGTGTGTATTATCGTGTATAATGAAAGGGATAGATATGACATCACAACTGATATAATTATCGAACTGATTAATTTGAAGACAATTCTCAGCACAAAACTAATAACATGTGGAGAATTATAGATAATTGGGGAAAAATAGTTGAACGCTTAAATTTATCTGGGATTAAACAAACAGACAATAATATTGTGAAAGAAGTATATCATTGTCAATGAAACTGGGAGTACTTTCGATACATCAGGAAGAGATATAGCTTGTCATATAAAGTTATTAATTTCTAAAGTGTTGATTATTCTTCTAGCTAGAAGCTTTTCGCCTAACTCCGGCACGACTTACACCATACATCTTTTTGGAAATATGCGGAGATTTAATCAATCAACGCTTCACAACAGAGCAGGTGGCATTTTATTTTTTGAAAATAATGAATTCAACGCGACTAATCACTTCAACTAGTGTTATCAAACTACGTAACATGAGAACTGACTAAATACTACCATCTTAAATTATCAAATTTAGCAAACTACTCGTCAGTTAGTTTTGTATTTCAAATGGTATCCAAAGAAACTCAGACACCTGTCGAACTTTTCTATCAAAAGGATTATTGCATGTGTTCATCAAGGGACTTTTGAGAAAACAACGTCGTTCAGTATGGTTGTCAAAACAGCAAAGATGTGGTGAAAATGGTAGTCACCTGTGCATATCATTCAATGCCGTCAGCTGACATAACAACTAAATCCAAAAAAGGATAACGTGGTGTAACTGTTCATTGCTTGCTTTATAAACAGTTAGATTTTTAATGCCGGATATTGTCTAACGCTTAGAGTAGTGAATTATACTAGGTTTTCGTTAGGTATATGTGCATTCCAGATTTTGGCCAACGGTTACTTCATTTTCACCAGAAAATATTGGTTATTGGATTTTAGTCAGGTAAAACACCAACATCAAATTTAATGGATCTTGATTTTGAACAATCAAGTAATGCCAATTGCATTGCTGTAAAAGAAAAATTAACTAAGCTGGAAAATTTCGGAACTCCTTTTCATTAACATTTTAAATGGTTTCAGTTTATGTTTAACTGTTGTTCTGAAAATGAATAGTATTTTAAATGTTGTATCTATGGGTTAAAAAGTTAAATATCAGGTTAATAAAGAGCTATGATATGTTTGTTATATTTTTACGTAACCGACTCACTTTGGGACTGAGTGATACGGGAAACAGTCCATGTGAATAAATTCATGAGTGATTGGCGGTCATACACAGTTGTTTCAAATATATTTGCCACTGAATTGAAAAAAAAAGAGTGGAAAGCATCACTTTTGAAGTTCCAACAATCAAAAATACAACGTTTGGTGTAAATTGATTAGCAGAAAAAAGAAAACTTGTCCCCCTGGACAAATTAGTTATCAACAAACTCACTATACTAATAATGTAGCTACATGAAATTTAAAGAATGATTACAAAAAATTAAAGAAGCTTGAATGATCTTAATTATCACAACACGAAACTTACTTGTTATTTATGTTTTAAGAGTAGTTAGGTTAAATGACTTTCAAAACGATGACAATATCAAGACTGACAGATATTTAGACCGAAAAAACCCACATAACAGCTAATAAGCCTAAAACATTCTTTTCTATGATTGACTAAAACATAGTATATATACAAATGCTTTGAATTAAGTAAAATTACTTTAAAAAATCAATCTATTAGTAAAAGAAGTGTGAAATTTGTATTCTTAGGACTTTAGAAATCTTTTACTATCTTAGCTTATGACTGACTTCTATCCAATGAGAATAAAGCTCTAAGTAGATGCCAAGAATGCGAAGGCAAGTCGACTTCATGTTACTTTTTGTTGAAAGCATTCAATCAATTATTATCGGATAGTAGTAGAGACTCAGAGTCCTATATGTGTAAAATAGTTGAACCAATGAATTTATAATAATATGTAAACAAATAACTATCAATCATCCAGTTGGACAGATAATTAGGCACTACCCAAACAAGTCATTTGTAGCCTCTTGTTGTTATACAGGGTGATATATGTTTGGATCTATAGAAAAGACCTTATTTCTTTCAAACCAATCTATTCTTATCTTTGTTACACTTAGGAGCAAGAAAGTGATGCCCAAGGTTATTTGACAACTTTTTAACCGGTCAATTTTGTATCTACCTCTATGAACTTAACATTTACAAAAAAAAGGTGCTTACTAAAAACAGTAAACTATCGAGATAAAAGAATTATTAATGTTTCAAGGATTTCTTTTACTATAATGGTTTTTAATCTATCGAATGAATGAACAGAGAATCATATTTTACAGTCTTAAGAAATGCTATTATTTATTTGATGAAAAAGAGTATACAAATCAATCAATAAATTTCGACTAATTTCCAGGAAAATTATAGATCGATAGAAGATGAAGTAGATTGATGTGATGAACAATATAATAATTATATTTTCTAATTATGTAAATTTCCTTTAGTGACAGTGAGAAGATAGATAGACATACTAATATAAAGCTAATCACTGAAGAGCAGGGATATTTTAGCTTTTGTTATTTGCCCAGAGAATCAAAACTAAAAAGAGCGTTTTCGAATTTTTGTAAAACACACACGCTAGAAAAAAAGCTTGTTTACAGTTTCCGTCCAGATAACTCAGGTGAACAGAACAATTTAGCTAATAGTGTATACCTTATACAAAAAGGTAACTGCATTTTTTTATCCTAGTTTACTCAATGAACTGATAAAACAACTTACTTAATTACTTACGCCTGTTACTCCCAATGGAACATAGGCCGCCGACCAGCATTCTCCAACCCACTCTGTCCTCCGCCTTCTTTTCTAGTTCCATCCAATTCTTGTTCATTTTTCTCATGTCTATCTCCATTTCCCGGCGTAATCTGTCCTTTGGTCTTCCTCTTCACATTTTGACCTTGAGGGTTCCATATGAGGGCTTGTCTTGTGACGCAGTTGGGTGCTTTCCTCAATGTGTGTCCTATCCACTTCCAGCGCTTCTTCCTCTGTTGGGATCTGGTTTGTTCTCTCCCACAGTAGGTTGTTGCTAATAGTGTCCGGCCGACGGATCCAAAGTATTTTGCGCAGACACCTGTATTTTCTGGATGATGGCTTTCGTAGTTCTCCAGGTTTCAGCCCCATACAGTAGAACTGTCTTGACATTTGTATTGAAAATCCTGACCTTGGTGTTGGTTGACAGTTGCTTTGAGTTCCAGATATTCTTCAGTTGTAAATATGCTGCTCTTGCTTTGCCGATCCGCGCCCTCACATCTGCATCTGATCCACCGTGTTCATCAATGATGCTACCCAGATATGTAAAGGTTTTTACATCTTCCAAATCTTCGCCGTTAATTGTGATTGGATTGTTGCAACTTAATTTAAAGAAACTGGTTTCGTTAAACATCAAATCAGTATATTGAATAGGGATTATTTTTCTAGTCGATCATTTTGAGGTATGTACATTAAAACGGTGTATCGCCTCTGAATAACTGCTCACGCACCAAATAAATAATTCGGTATTTGTTCTTATAAATGTTAAACAAGTGCTTCGCAAAAATTATTTTATAAACAAAAGTGTGAAAAACAAAATTCCACTTTTCATTTATACTACACCTACACGCTGTACCTCTTGTTATCCAAGAAGCCAAGATAGAAGCTAGTACACAAAAACACAAACCACGTGGATTAATATACAAAACTAAGTTACCAGACAATTAATAGTGAGCAATGCCTGACTTTGAAATAGAGTATTAGGTAAAGATGGCAAACAGAATGATGAAGTAGTAAATCTTCATCAACTGAAATGGTTAAGACATGTTACGCATGCCCTATAATCGCCTACCTCCTCGATGGGTGATGTTTGCCGGTATAGGAGTAGCCCCCAAATGCCCTGGTACGGCCGAGAGTGGGGAGAGTTCGCTCTCCCTCTCGAAATGCTCTCACACGGCCACGCGTATATAGCCTCTGCCAGGGAAGTCCTACCCACTGCCTTTTCGTGGCGGGGGTGTTGTTTACGAAAATGAGAGGACGAAAAGCGAATGTCCGGCGCTTTAACCGGATTCCAAACCAATGGTGCACATGGGTTCCAGTATCCTGAGGGAACAAATGGCGTATGAACCAATTGTTGGTCACCGGCTTCCATGGGACTGCATCTCCTTACGATGCTCCACTGTCTTGTGGATCAGACCTTCAGGTCGAAGGCTCGGGGTGTGGCCCCCTAAGAAAACCACCCGCTTCGGTTTGGGCACCCGGGCAGTATCACAGCCCTCACACATATCCAATGAGATTTGTGTGGCGCATATGTATTTGGTGCCTCTTTGTACCATTATCTATGTGTTGAAATAAATAAATAATAATAATAGGAGTAGGGTGGAAGAAAGTTAGTGGCAGCCAAAACAAAATATGGCATCATTCCATCAAGTCATAGACGATTAAACTGAGCCATCTTAGGTGTAGTCTACCTGGTTAGGTTCTGTGTAATTATTAAAACAGACGTTCAAGGACTTTGAACAGCATGGCTCAAAATCGTTTGCAGTGGCGCAGGTGCATACACTCTTTGTGTTCTACAAAATTCTAATCTTCTGAATTCTTCACGTCCTTTATTTCTCTTTCGAAATTCATTTCACTGGATTATACTCCTTGAATAAAATCTTCAAATCCTAGTCTTTCCGATTACCGCTTATAATTTTACTACCTCTACCACTACGGGATTTGAATCGACAGTTGTATCTCTGTGATAATGTGGTATGGCAACTTGAACTTATGTACGTACGTACGAAGTTCTACGTTGTCGCTGGCCGTTTGCAGTTGCTATTCATATATGCATCTGCCTCCAATTACCAACACAATGTGTTCTTTGGTCTTCCTCTTTTTTTTCAATTCAGGACTCCAAGTGAGGACTTGCCTCGTGATATAGTTCGATGTTTTCCGTAATATATGTCCTATCCACTTCCATCGTCTTTCCCTAATTTCCTCTTCAGTTAGAAGCTGGTTTGTCCTTTCCCACAGGCTCTGTTTCAAAAAATTAAATAAGGTTATAAGGAATTTGGGAAACAAATGGAAAGGAAAGTCCAGGACAGAATTAGGTGGAGAATGCTGGTGGGTAGCCTATGCTCCTCCACGAGGGGTAACAGGGCCTAATTTATTTACTTTTTCTTCACTAATTATATTTCCTTCTCAAATCTCATTTTCGATGCCTTATCTTTTCCACTACCATTGAAACTGTTACTATCTCTACTACTCTGGGATTTGGTCTGACAATTTCATCTTTCTGCACTAATGGGGTATGGCACCTTGAACCGATGAGTGCACGTACCATGTTTAACGTTGTGACTGACTGATTAGGCATCCACTCAACTCTCGAACAGGACATCGATTTTTTTGCTGCTGAGTTGGTCTATGGAAGGACGCTATATTTGCCTGGTGGTTTTTTTAACCGTGCAACAAATATTCCAACAGACATAAGCAGAAATTAAGAAAACAGATTGAATCCATTAGATCTGTCAACCCGCAAACCCAGAAAGCAAGACCATTCGTGCTTATCGAATTAGAAAAATGCTCATATACATTCGTCAGAAATGAAAAAGTATGACAGCCTTCTTAAAATCATCAAGAAAGACGGTAAAACAGTCAAAGCTGAAGAGTATGTAAGACACTGTTAGCACCGATCGAGTTAAATCAACATTTCTAGAAAGTACTGAGCAACAAGCGATAAAATCACTAGAATCTACAGCAGGACAAGCAATAAATAAGCTAACTGCAACAAACGCTACCCTACACCAAAGTTCGACAACCACAGAAACTATGATAAGATCAGAAGAAGAGGGAATTAGTTTGAAAGAGATGTGGCAACCACCATATTTACCTAAATCAAACCCTCGCATTATTATATAACTTTTATGTACATTTTCTTTTGTGTTATGATTGTTTTTGTTACTATTCTTAATTGGTACTACGGAATTTTATTATCTTTACATCTTAACCTTTCAGTTTTTTGGGACGTTAAGCATGTACACACTTCCCACATTCTGAAAATCATTATTTTGATAAGAATCACATCTGGACAGTAAGTCGAAGCGGTGTAGATATTCCTGGAAATGGGAAATGTTTGGAATTGACTACCTAATCGGTAGCGAACGAGATGTCCTAGTCATGTCAGTTTTCGAATACCTGCCAAATAAATGTGGCGAATTTGATTACGGTCAGACTTTTGAGACTTGTATATTTGAAAATCTGAAAGAAAACTCAAAGTAAATGAAGGTGTGGAACTGAAAACAGAGCTAAATACATCCAGATCACCGATAACTTGATGAGCTATACCTAATATTAACATGGATAAAAGATCATTAGCACCGATGGAAAGCTTTGAATCGTGTTTATTTGGATTAAGAATTCTATTTATCGAGAAACATCTTAGAAACACCACCCCAGCTATCTACGTCAAGCGTTTTTGAAAACACTAAAAGCATAGCCTGTTACTAACAGTCAGTTTGACTGACGGGACATTTGATAAACCACTCTTCCACTAGTCATTCAAAGGAGACTATTGTCTTATGCGTCTAACCCTTCATCTTAATATTTGTGGAGCATCTCTTAGTGTTTCAAGTAGATTCCTTTCTGTAAAAAGTGGACACTTAACACCATGTATTACAACACATAGGACACAATTAGATTACCTTTCTCCGATTGAGACCATCGAGAAACTTCTGTAGAATCTAAAGTTGCATCTTTAGGTTTATCAACTTTGTGACAGCTAAGTACAATACATAAATCACGTTTTTCGCGATATCTGTCAATCTACGGAAACAAAAGTTATAGGATTTAGTAGGACAGATTTACGTCTTGTTTTAAACTTTGAACAGAGCTGAAAGATTTGGAATCGCTTATATCATATACCAAAATGAATGCATCAGCACAATTCACAAAATGTTTTTCCAATTTAGTCATCCCTCCAAGATCGTAAATTCGAACTTTTTCTTTAAAACCACGATCTGTCTCGACAACGGCATTATAAGTGTCTTCATAAGTCGAAATCTGGTAATTAAAATATATTCTTAAATGAATGATTATCATTTATACATAAGGAAATTATAAAGAAATTTTCAATATTTAGAGATAAGACTCATAAAACATTGATTTAATGTTTCGAAAAATGTAGTGATTTTGAAATAAGCCATTGCTAGTCCAAACGACTAAAACTCAAAACATATTTGTTAGCTGCTTGATTTGAGCTTTGAACACCTTACGCAGTTTGTACCAACGATCTTCGCAGTTCGTAGGAAACAAGATGGTATAGTCAGTAGGGTAATATGGATTCATCGTACAAGTTCACAGTATGGGACTATTACAGAAAATCTGGTCACCCTAAGCGAATTTAAAATGAAAAAACTAATGTCATAAGAAGTACACTTAGCCACCTTCGACAGGCCATACAGACAAAAGTTCCACAAGCAATATCTCATTTTCTTCGTTTTAAAGTCTTGTACACCTCACCTATGGTTCTCTTATCGATAAGGAAGGTCTAAGTAGATAGTACAGTCGCTCGATTTAAAAGGACAGTGGTATTGTTTCTCGTTGAGTTAATTAGCTGTTTTGATCGTAAATTACGCATCAAAACTACTGTTTACACTTTAATCGCATCTACCCCAGTTAAAGTGATATTGTATTGAGTGTTTTGATTTTGCTTTTGTGTATTTATTGCATCGAAGCATACTTGGTCGACTTTTACTTGATTTATTTAGTTAAGGTTTGAGAATCCTTTTACATATCCTGTTTTTGTCACCGTTCTAGTTGTTTATCAAGATGGCTAGATCTGCACATAAATGTGGACAACCATATTGCTTATTTCCCGGGGAGGAAGGGATGCAATGTGATGAGTGAAATAAGTGGTTCCATAAGATGTGCACCCGATTAAGCCCCACTGCATATAAAAGGTGCTCAAAGTCCAACTCCCATTGGCTTTGTAGTTTTTGTTGCTCGAGCAAAACACTAATCATCCAGGAAGCAGTTAGCCTCCTGATGTTGGCTAATAAGAAGGTTGATGAGGGCCGTACTGGTAACATTGGTACTGATGGCGAAGATTGCGTTAGTGTTGTAAGTGCTGTCACGGCGCAAGCCAGACATCTACCTGTGCAACCCGCAGTTAAACGTTCTCCCCCGAAACGATCAGTGAGTGACACCTCATTAGACGTTGGTGGCCATATCGCTACAGCAGCAACCGGTGACCCAGATAAAACAATTACTGTCCCGGGTTGTTCTAATGTAGATGTTTCGGCTGATGGAAAATGGATTACGCGAAAACGCAGAAGACTAGGAAAGACAGCTAAAACTAATGACTGTTTACCTGATAAGTACTTGGTGGACTCTCAGACCAATCCACCAAAGCTCCAAAGTAAAGCTTCGTCTAACACTGTTGTGAGTCACTCACAGGACTCGGTTACAATAAAACCTAATCATAAGATACCAGTAGTTAATATGCAGGATCTATCGTCACGGTCGAAAGCTGTTAACACAATTTCAAAGGAAGCTAAACCCTTCTTAGTTTAATTATTTGGAATCTAGAGGAGTCGAAAGATAACGACCCTGCTAGAAGACATGCGCATGACCTGCGGTTAGTGGAGTCTGTGGTAAGAAATGTACTACCTGAAGAGGTTTCAGGGGTACATAATACAAAAGTAATACGACTTGGTAAGTGTGTTGGAGGCAAGACCTAACCAAGAAGAATCCGTAAGCTGGTTCTCGGGAGTTTCGAAGAGAGAGACATTATTGAAAAACGCACCAAAAACTCGTGACTCAAATATCCGTATTCGACCAGATTGGCCGCTTGAGGATCGAATCAAGTGGAAGAGTGCTCTTACGGAGTTGAGGACTCGCAAATTAAATGGCGAAAATAACCTTACCATTAAGGGTTTTCGGGTAGTCAGGTCTTGGAAGCCAATGCTTCCGAGGCCTGTACGGGTAGAACGATTGATTGCCAAAACACCTTAAGTGTGCGCTACACGAACATTCGTAGTCTTAGAAATAAAACGTCCGAGCTAAGTCTGATGGTGGAAGAATTATGTCCCGATATAATCGCTGTTACAGAAACTTGGTTCACAGTAGATATAGACTGTTCTCCTTTCATTGCAGGCTATATCTGTATTAGAAGTGATAGTTTCAAGTCGCAAGGGGGGAGGTATAATATTATACGTTAAGGATCACTCTCGTATACAATCAACCATATCGGAGGCTCATATTAGTGGCACATGTGAGGTTGCATGTTCAAAGATTAAATCTAGAAATGGGTTAGTGACTATAGGGGGAATATACCGTAGTCCGTTTTCTCTTGCTGACGACTTTATCCTAAGACACATATATTCTTGGAGTACGGCAGAATGTTGCCTGATCATTAGGGACTTCAACGCACCGCATATTAACCGGATAGAGCTTACAATTCGTATCTGCTCCACCCCGTCCCAATATCTGGCGAGCCAATATTCCGGCAATCAGAAACTGTGCTATCTCGACTGACTGGTCGGTCGACGCGGATGGATTGATCGAAGATGAATGGAATAAGTTTAAGGCTACATTTGAGTCCGTAACGTCGCCGTTTATCCCATGGTCAGCACGTAAGCTATCACATTGCCCTCCATGGATTAATAAGGAAACCCGGAAGCTGTCAAAGCGTAGGAAACATTTCTGGGACTTATTTTTGTTGACAGGTCATGCACCAATTAAGCGTGAGCACCAAAAAGTCCGTAATATCTGTAAGAAAACCGTAGCCAAATCCCGTACCACATACGAACGACGTAGTGATGGTATTTCCCCGTTACTGTTACACGAAAATTCAGATTTACTGGCTGAATCAGATAGAGCAAAAGCTGAGACTATTTCAAACTATTTTAGCGAAGTCTACTCTACGTTTATTGTAGCAAATACTTGTCCCACTCACACCGAGATACTAACCATTGAATCTGTACAGGTGACTGAGGAAACTGTCCTACCGTTGATAACTAACCTCAAACCTGGTAAGATACCGGGCCCTGACGGGTTACATCCACGGTTGTTGTCATCTCTTGCAGACATTATTTCAAAACCGCTCGCGACACTCTTCAACATGTCCCTCTCACTCGCTCAACTCCCTAGAGATTGGAAGTACGCTATAGTCGGTCCTATATTTAAGGACGGTCAGAGACAGATAGTATCTAACTACCGGCCTGTCAGTCTAACTAGCATAGTCGTTAAGTTACTTGAAAAGATTATTCGGGTTAGGTTGCTAAGCCACATAGATTTACACAATCTGTTAGCTCCTAAGCAACACGGATTTCGTAACAAGCGTTCGTGCTTGACTAACTCGCTTATTGCGAGGGAGGATTGGACAGCAGCCCTAGATAACGGTCTGTCTGTCGATGTGATATTCATAGATTTTAGCAAAGCATTTGACAAGGTTTCACACGTAGGTCTTATGCAGAAGCTCACGAGCTTCGGAATAATAGGTACTGTACATGAGTGGATAGGAAATTTCTTACGTGACCGCAGACAGAGAGTGAGGGTCAACGGAACGCTATCCGATTGGAAGCCGGTCAAAAGTGGTGTACCCAAGGCACCATCTTAGGCCCTCTGCTCTTCCTTCTCTACGTTAATGAGTTACCGCTGTTGCTTAGGTCGTCGACATTATTGTTTGCGGATGATGTAAAAATCTGGAGAATAAAAAGTGAGGCTGATCATCTAGATCTTCAAGCTGACTTAGACGATTTAGTTAGATGGGCTCGAGAGTAGGGCTTAGAAATCAATGCTAGGAAGAGTGTTCTAATGCACACCGGTCACGGTAATAGTTACTGTTACACTATTGAGGGTAAACCTCTTCCATGAGTTCAAGAGCATAAAGATTTAGGAGTAGTATTGTCATGATTTAAAAACAACTACGCATTGCAAAGCAGCTGCTGTCAAAGGTTTTCGTGCGTTATGGTCACTTTGCCGAGCGTCCAAATCTTTTGACGAGGAAACGTTCCGAATTTTATATCCCACCTACATAATACCACATTTAGAGTACTGTATCCAAGCAGCTAGCCCATGTCTTGTAAAGGATACTAACTCACTAAAGCGTGTGGGAACAAAACTAATGAAGGGTCTTTATAAACTCCCTTACGATGAGTGTTTAAAACGCCTAAGCTTTTCCCCTTTGTCGTATCGTAGGACGCGAGGTGACCTTACACTAGCATTTCGTATCTTTAATTATGATTTGGGTGTTAATACGTCTCATCTTTGTGCTCCCTCCAGAACTAATAATCTCCGAGGTCATAGCAAGAAATTTCACTAACCGCCATCTAGTAAACTTAAAGTAGGATCCCGTTTTTCTCATAGAGTAGTCAATGATTGGAACGCCTTACCCGAACAAGTGGTATCAGCCCCATCAGTGAATACTTTCAAAGAGAAGCTGGACCTTCACTGGAAAGCAGTGTGTCACGATTAGTACAGGTTCACCAACCTACTATCCTTATTACTGAAGACAAGACAAGACAAGCTTGCCCAACCTCCCAATTTTGGGGAAAATTTGATCCATTTTGGGGAATTTTGAGGATTAAGGTGCAAAGCACTTTATTTCCAGATTAATTAAATAAAAAAGGCAGTTAAAGCTCTTAATAGTCACTGCACACTTATCTTGAGATTGATTGTCGATAATGAACTCTGTTGCATTAGAAAATAGAACCAAGGTTAAAATTCTGAGAATGCTAGCATAACGATATAACTTACAAAGTCTTCCGGTTGCCTTTCAAAATAGTTCCCATATATGCAGTGTTCAATCAGAGAAGTTTTCCCAGAACCAGTCGGTCCACAAACAACCAACTTCGTAATCTTACCCATGAAAAATGTGGGTTAGACAGACCGGTTTCCTGAAGGTCGTCCCACCAATATACAATATCTTCATCATGAGATGGTAAAATCTTGTCTTTGCATTGAAGAATAGTTGAGGATTTCTGATAGCATCCGACTATGGACGAATAAACATCTATTTGATGACGAAAAGAAGAACTAGGGAAAAACCACAAAAAGAACTGTAGTAAGTTTAGAATAACTGTGAATATCATCCATACCCTCGATAGAATCAGCAGAAAGTATGCACTGTGTAAGAAGTAATTTCCTATAGACGTAATTCTGAACTATTCAATAGACTATCTAGAACAAAGTCTTCGCCCAGCCAATGTCAGAACAAGTAAGCTATTTGACTTGATAAACCTTATCTATTTTTAAATCGTAAATTAACACTGTTGATGTGGAAAATAAACAATTAATACAATCTATTAAACAGGAAAAAAGAGTGGCATAAATAACATGCCGAATAGTAACTATAGGGTAGGAAAAATGAGACGATGAACTTAATACCCTTCAATAATCATGAAATAATGATTGGTGAGATCAAAAGGATTTGATGTGTTGGTGAGCGTTTCGTGTTGTCATACCTTTCTTAACAAATGAAGCGTTTGTAGTAAACAACTGCTCATTCCATTTCAGTTACGGTACAACTACTTAGCACGTGTACGTTGTATTCTCCCTTTAACTCTACGCTGACACGTTCTTTTTTACTTGTGCATACCAATGGCAGAGGCAAGAAGTTATAGTATATACACTATGTTTAGTACCTTCACTTATCACAAATTTCCACGAACATTTCCCTTGGGATTCTGAATTCACGATCTCATGTGCATGCTCTAATGCAGTACGTATTGCAGATAGCTCAGTATGAAGTGGCTCATGACCAACAGTAATCATTTCTCTTGAAATATTTCTGTACCATATGCACGAGTTTATGGACCTTTGAAATTAAAAAAACTACTTCGGTATTGGCACTACCATAGTAATAGACCTGATCCTAAAATTGTAGACATCTCACGATGTGACTGCCTAATCTACAAGATCTTACGTGGAAGTCACATAATTGACTATTCTGACTAATCGTATCGTAAGAATCAGGTATATAATGTCTAGAATTCCCTAAGGACGCATTTCGGCGGGGTAGAAAATAATGTATTTAATACAAGATCAAAGAGGTTTTACATAGAGTGACCACGTTGTATGACCGAGCCATGCCATCGTAGAACTATGTTCTACGTCGTTATCAGTATTATTATAATAATCAGCATAATCCTAAAGTTGTCGATTTGTCATGGTGTAACTGCCTGATTAATAAGAACTTACGTGGAAGTGAAGTCGCTGTCTACAATGACTTGTATCATCACAACTAACAATTTGATGTCCGGAGTTTCTAAATAACACATTTAGGCTAAAAATAGAACAAAAAATTTAATCTGAGCAAAGATAAGTTATATAGAATGAGGACGCCTGATTGAATTCAATTAATTCCCCACGCCTTATCCATCGTTGGTCTTCTCCCCGCGTTAAATGTTGAATATCGATTATCCCAGCCACTTTGTGTTCATCTTTGAGGATTACGTGGCTAGAACCAATACCGCTACACCCTTTTGAACCCTTGTTCCAACATTTGTCATTGTTGACCTTCTCTTAGCTTTACATGTTGGAAGTGGATCTTTTTGATAATTCTATGTTCAGCTTCGAAGATCGTGTGATTAGGGACCAATAACACTACAGACCCTTATTTCGTAACTTATAAGTATCTCGTTGGTTATTTTTCTGCGAAACTGTCATAAGACAGCAATAAGTTTCTTAATACTTTCCTGATACTTTCTATAGAGTCATACATAATCATTGTAACCTGTTCCGTTAGATTGACGGTCAGATAGCCTAGACTTCTGGAGAGAAACAACATGATGACATATGCTTTGTCTACCTCAATTTAACAGATATGACGGCTAGAATACTTGGTAGATGTAATACGATCCGCTTTCTAAGATGGGAAATATGTAATGACCTGCATGAAATACTCATGATCCTCAAACAAACGTATTCTATGAATATGTGTTAGTTCTTATCAAATGTTTACGCGTCGACCTTGAGCGTCTTTTGTATGAGCTTCCTATCTTCATATATAACTTAATTGAATGCCTACCTACACACTGTACCTCAAACTAGTTACTATCATTATTATTCACAAACATTTTATGGGTACATAAGTGCTGTGAAGAAAGCATTTCGGGTTTCGTTACAGTTTTAATTATGTTAGCATTAAACTTGCCGTACTTGAAATAAAGAGGAATTAATAAGAGAATGGAGTAATACTAATAAATCAGGTTCTGTTTAATTGAGAAGAATATTGAGTTGACTTCAAATAAGGAAATGGCGAAATACACAAATAGTTTAATAAGCCTGTTTATGAACACGACTATGTATGTATCGTCAACTGAGTAACAAAAATAAAATAGAATAAATAAATATGAGAAATAACTTGTTAATGCAGTAAACTATGACGTCAGAATAAGTGTTTGTGTAGTCATAGTTTGAAGTGATGCTATAAAAGTCTCGATTAAGTGCTAAGGACAACCAAATATCAATATGTGTGAGTCATATATGCATAGTGAAGACTGAAAGAGTTTGAGAAATTAATTTAAGTGTAACACAAGTTATTGTCTCAATTACAAACTTCGAAATCTTAGAAATATTATTTATTTAGAAAGAAAAAGGGATAGAAAAGAAATGAAAACCTTGTGAGTGTGTTCGATCATGGTAATAAGAAGGTGATGAATATCGACTTCTGAAGCAAACCATTAATTTTGTTGGTTTTTTAGTGCACTCGGAAGAATATATGTAAAGTTATGTAATAGAACTCAGAGTTAAACTTGATACTTATATGAATATTCGTTCAATAACAATTAGGAATGATGGTATGAAAGTCACAGTTAATTGCAAGGGATAATCAAATATAAAGTTCTGTTTTATATATATATGAGGTGAAGATGATATGAATCTGAGTACTTGATTTGCTTAAGTATAACATAAGATGATTTGTTTTTAGTTATAGATTTTGGATGTTTCAGAATAAAATATGTTTAGAAGGGAAAGAAGAGGCGAAAAAAATATCTACTGTGTCGAGTTACCAATAATGATAATCAATTAAAAAAGAACAGTGTATTCGTCAAGATGTGCCAGCTATTTAATAGTCAGGCTTATGCGTCAGTGTTGCACGATCAGTACAGACTTTATAATGTTTCAGAACTGGTGTCGCGTTCATTTTGTGAATTCGGTAAACGCACAGCAGGTTCAAACTTGACATTAGTGTGTTAGAATTGTGGTAGTGCTATGTATTTATGCAATATAAATATCGACGATGTTTAAAGATATAATAAGGTCACTATTAAGGCGCTTGATATGTGCTGTGACCTTAAAAGACATATACATTAAGTTCTTTTAACTTTATTCCTGGAGTAAGAAGCTCCATAGCTGTACACTGAGAACGCGACGCTAAAAAATAACAAGACATGGGAAATATAAGGGGCACGGTATTTAGATATAAGCTCTCAATAATGCTCAACAATTTGTAATGGAACAGACAAGGATATGTAAATTGGTAGATAGAAATAAAACAGGCTGCCGTTACTAGATTGAAATATGATCAAGTCTTGATATTAGAGAGTACGGTCATAAATAGCAGTGGGTTTTGATGTGTTATAAAATGGAATGGTTTCAAATGATAGAGGCGATTTCGGGGCTATTTTTTAAAATGGAAAGAGAACCAAAAGACAATGAAGTGCTAAGGAACGCTAACAACTACACCTTTTACGATGATATTTTTTTACTCTCACTTTTTATCTAATATCAGTCACTGGGGCATAATATTAAAGCCTGACTTAGAGTGTCATAGGTAATTATAGTGGGATAGAAAATTCAGCATAAGATTGAAAACATAAGTATGAGTTGCGAGAGTAAGAGAACAACGATAGTATCACTGATTGATTGGCTCGTCCTTGGTCGTAAAAGGCCTGATACAAGCGGAATTTTCAACTCTGAATCATTAGTAGATTAAAGTTATCGCCCTAACCCTCGACGCTTGCTTGTCAGTAACTCAATGGACCACCCTTAATTAGAATAAGTAGACTAATGTGTCAAATTCGTGCTACGTCTGCTTGCCCGTCGCTCATATACTTGTGTTTTTAGTTGCTTGTGTAAATAGAACGCATCGTCAATACATTTCGCGGTCCACTTTTTCCATTCAACATTATATTTACGTGACATACTAGTGGTTATTTGGATACGAGATACCCAGACAGTAAACTGAAATCAATTGTAGTGCTATGAAAGTGATGATAGAGTTAATCCTAAAGAATGGCTTGACTACATCACTTTTGTCCACAAATGACATCCATCATTGACCGCTTTTAGTGGAAACAAGTTCTTAAAGTCTGGCCAATTATTATTCAATTGAATCCCAATTGATGGGCATCGATACTTACCGAAATCTTTATCTCACTAGACCTTAAGATTTTCTGCACACAGAAAGCATTGGGTTGATCATTGATAACCACTAAGAAAACTGGCCCAATGAAGTAACATTGTGTTGATCTACTCAAACATTCATAAATGTACAGGTTCAGACAGTGTTACAGTAGGTACTCCAAGTAGTTAACTTACCATGAACTGGTATTGTGAATATCATTTGTTAGTATTTTCACATAATTGTATTACCGTAGCTTTGAACTTGGTTTGGACGCAATTTTAACCCTGAATGTTTGTTTGAAAACCAACTTTGGTCTGTTATCTTGCATTTTTGCCCTCGATACCTACAAATCAAAGATGTATAGTTAAAATTACTATTGTAATTACTTTTTAGAACTACACACCGATAATACCCAATTTATGAGTAAAACATAAATATTTTGAACTTAAATATTTAGACTGAAAGATACCAGTTATCAGTCAACCTTTTTTCAAGGACTGACAAAAGTGGGAATTTC